AAGACTAATCTTCTGATATACATCTCATTCTGAACGGCCACGGCCACTAAGTATCCTTCCCTTGTAAGATGACCGGACAAGTTGGTGTTCCGATTGTAATCTATGAATTTGACGTCAAATTCGACAGACTTTTCTATTGCAGTTTAACATCGTTCAATCTTCTAAACTGAGTTCCATACTTTACGTCGAAGGCTAATCGGTATGTTGTAGCGTAAGCGAAATGAGTCGAGTCAATTGGCGGTTTGTTTTGAAACTGGAAGAATTTTACGAAGCCTGCGGTCCTCGCCCAGGCTTGAAATGTTGAAAAATGGTTCAATTTGTCTTGAGCTTCAACCAATTTTTCTCTTATCGATGTTCATCAGTGCTGCTATGAATAAACTGCATTACCATTTTCAGTTATAAAATGGTTGCCTGAACACAATTCCTTGGCAACTCCTTAAAATTCCTTAAACGTTAGCGAGTCAGCAGTTTGCTCAACATGCTGTACATTTTTTTTGGTTTGTAAGAAAGGCTCAAGATCTACTTGAAGGCTGCTAAAAGCAATTTTTTCAAACTGGTCAAGCCTTTTCCGTCCTTGTCTAGCCCTTTCGCAGATGATTGCATACTAAAACATACGATGCAAGCTGGGCAGCTTCTGCAATCTTGCTTATACGGAAAGAATTACCATATCAGCAGTAACTTCATAGCTACTACGAAAAAAATCTGCGAGAAAAATAATGAACACTCGTGTAAAGAAATTGCTTCAAAATATGCCTGCTATCTAAAAAATCCATAATCCATATCTCCTCTATCCCAAATGTTGCAATGATGTGAAGTTAGCAAAATAGATTGTGTTTTTGTTTGAAATGCTTCCCTTTTCTCCACGTTATGGTATCAGCGATGGAGTTATGCGCAATGCACTTCCACCGAATTCGGAACTTAAATGGGACACAGTGAAAGATTATGATGGGAAGTATGTTATTCCGTATACAATCACTGGCACTTATGGTAAGGTTGTCCGCATAACCTACTACAAAAAAGCAGATGTTCAGGTCTCCATTCTCAATTCTAGACTTCAGATGATAGCGAAAAGCAGATAATTTATGCAGCGATGAAAAAGATCGATGCAAATACTTGCATACGATTTCATGCTCGCTCTAACGAGAAGGATTATATCGACATACAGAATTCCGAAGGAGAAGGGTAATGCGTTGTCACAAATTTCTTTTTACTAAGCAAATTATAATATTTGTAGGTAATTTTGATAATCAAAGTAAAAAAAA